ATTCTATTCTATTCTATTCTATTCTATTCTATTCTATTCTATTCTATTCTATCATACCTCCAAATTCAAAGTAAGAGTTTGCAAAAAGCAAGCACAGACAGCTACATTCATGTGACCAAACCCAAGCAAATAACAGCTTGTCCTGTTGCCAAAGGATGCTTAATTTTATTGGGCCTGTACTGTTTACACCAAAAACATATTTCCCAGGTAGAGGCCGATGCAGCTCGTACCTGCTTTTCAAGGAGGAAGCTTCCCTGTTTTATGAAAGCAAACGGGAAACTCTCTAGAACTGTACCCCTCAACCTGAGGGGTGCCCCAGTTGACTTATCCATGTAGAGATTATGTCCGGATTGACAACCCTGTGATAAATGAACAAGTGTTGTGGTTTGCCAGCAGCAGGTGAGGATGGCTGAGGTCTCAGAGAGCGAGGACTCGGATGAGGGGCCTGCGTGTGATGCAGGGATGGGGCCAGGACCATCAGGGAGTGGAATGCTGCCTTTGGAGATTGTGGAGGCTGGCAGCAGTGATGAAGAGCCTGTGCCCAGTGCTTGTGCTCACAGGGCAGCTCGAAGGAAAGAGCAGCTACAGCAGCACAGGTGACTCGGGAGTAAGGCTACAAGGTAATGGCCCCTCTCTTAAGAGATAAAAGCCAGCTGAGAAACTGGAGTTCTTTGCAGGAAGCAAAGAAGTTTTTGCACTCAAGCCTTGTGGACGTTCAGAATATCTTGGTTGGTGTTTGGAGACTCTGTGTGTTTGAAATATTGCTTAGTAACTTTACCTAGTGTTCTTGGCAGCCTTGCACAATCTTGGCAAGGCTCGTTCTAATAAGAGACATTTAGTTTGAAATAGCTTTTAACCGTGAAGGAACAGAATGTGTAAAGAATCATTAAAAGGCTTTGCTGTTACCTCTGTTTCGTGTTTGTTCCCTGTGGAACAAGGTTTGAGTCAGAACATCAAGCCGTCCCATTCAGTCGTACAATGCCCACAGCATGCATCCCAAACACCCGATAATAACCAGTAACCAAAATTGCGGTGAGATTTGCTAATCAAATCTAATGTATACTGGCCTACGGATCCAGAATGCACAGTATTCATTCATTCAATTTGTATGGCCACTTATCTTTCCATAGTGACTCTGGAGGACCAAAACTACATGAAAATGATTTTTAAAGGTCTGCAACAATAAAGAACAATATGATCAGCTCCAAATCCATAATTCCAACAAACATGCCTATTTCCAATTTTCTTTCTTTCTTTCAAAAATTTCAGTCTTTTTCTTGCTTCTGTCTGGTCCTGCTTTGAGGACTGGTAAATCTAAAATTAGGGCTAATATATCTTGGTGGCAAAAATCTAGGTGGGTGCTAGATGGCAACAAAGATTTACCAAAATATAAAATGCAAATATGGTAGCTCTGCTGAAATAAAATATTACTGTTCAAGTCAGGGTCACATGAATCATTCCATTCTTACTCAAAATTCGGTCAGGATTTTTCCAGATGAAAATGTTGAAAATATATTAAAGAAGTCCTTATTTAAAGAACAACCGGGGGAAATCCATATGTTTAATTGTGAAACTTTTGATTAAACTGCATTTAGATGACTCTTTACCCAAATTTCTGGTGCTTTCCATTTCTGGGGAAAAACACCCTCTGGAAAGCCACTGCCAGTCAGAGTAAATAATTTCAGGTAAATTCATCTACTTTAATATATCCAGAAGGATCTGATCTTTGTGCTTCTAACAGCTGCTCAACAGTAGATATTCACAGGTTATACCAGTTACCTCCTTGCTATGAACAAAGATTAAGCAGTTGCTAAAAGCAGAGAAACGCATACATGTTTTTTTCTTGGTGGATAGCAAACGTCTATATTAGAATTACTATTCTCAAAATCCAAAAACAGCAAGCCCAAAGAAGTTTTATGTTTTCACAGTTATCTCAGATCACATGAAAAACTCAATGAAATTGAGAATGTGTAACTGTAAAAGGTGCTTGGAGCTCCATTATTCACAGGAAAAAAATAGTTTTACGAGGCTGTAGGGGGCAAGGACAGCTCTCTGATTATCAGTATTTTTCCAGAAAGAGGTTCTGTACCATTAGCAGTTACATGGTGGAGAGAGGCTTGTAATTTGAAGTTGTTCACACCACAATAAAAATCTCTTCTGTTGAAATCTGATCTAATCATGAACCAACTAAAAATGTAGAACTTCTTAATAGAAAGTTAAGCTGGTATCCAAGATTACCATAACCTCTGGATATATCGTATCTCTGCAAGATTATAACCGTAACCTAAGATGCATCATATAGCATGGTAAGATATTCAATTTTGTCAACTAATTTCCCTCCCTGCTATATGACTTAAAAGGAAAATACTGATTGTAACCGGTCACTCTCAGATTATGGACTTCTAGATGATGACTAAGTACCAGTAATTTGATTATTTCACTAACTTTAAGGTCAAAAACAGAAAACAAACTACATTAAGGTTTAATGTGTTATATAAGCCAGGTCTGTGAAGTTTATAGACAGATTTCCACAGAATCCAACATTTGGATTAATCTGTAAACTTTCATGGACCCCAGTCTACCAAGGAAAATTTATCCTGCGTTAGAATTAAATATAATAATTTAGTATTCCTGGTATTTATAATACTAATGCTACTTATTAATTTTTAGTAATATAGGTGTAGCCTTGGTGGAGGTGAATTTTACACATCAATGATATCAAAGAGAAATGAAAGATAACAAGAAAGAGGTCAATTACTAATTGTAAACATTCACAAAACAATTATTAGGTAGCTAATAATAAACATAGGCTGCATGTATATAAATGACCAACTAAGGCAAATGTAATTTGCCACTTTACGGCTTAGCATACTCTGCAAACTATGCCTCAATATTGTAGGTGCACTGATTTTATCACATAATGTGTGTTAAACATTTTTGTCCTTATTCAAGCCACAGGAAATAAAGGGATGTCCAGGAACATTTTTCTAAAGAAAAAAGCCCATTAAAACATAATAATCAATTTTTCTTAAGGAAATATTAATGCCATGTGTTATTTGACAAGAAATACGTTGTGCAATGTGTCTATAGCATTCTACCATTTGTTATGCTGAAGCAACTTCCTTCTAAAAGTACATTTTGAGGTACCTTTGAAGAGGACTAAAACATATATAAACTTATTTTTCTAGAGAGGTTGGCATCATGCTGGGTTTTTTTCCCCTCAACCACTAGCATTTTTGTGGAAACTTATGGCACATACTTTTTTAATCTGACCAGCTAGGTTAAGTAATCTTCCCTTTGCTTGTAAAACTGAAACGCATCCCGCCCTTCTCTAGCTGTTTCACCCAAGCGGCCTGTCCACACAAGCTCTGCTTTCTTTCAAGCTTTTCACCTCACCTGCTCTTTATAGGGACGATCTCCCTGCTTAAAGTCTGAGGCAAGACAGCTTGTTAATGGTGATAGAAAGAAAGGAAAAGACAAACTCACCTTGGTTTTGCATC